CGGGACGCGGTGGACAGGCTAAAGGTAGAGAAACGCTCGTACGTAGAGGATGGGTAAAACAACGAGGTGTGAGGATCAGAAAGGCTGATGTCCCGGGCGATGATTGGAAAAACAAGTGAGGCGAACTTTGATGGTGGTCTTTGTCTTTCACGCGCCTTTGTTTCAACTAAGAGGGACGAGGCGCTGCCGTGCAGCTCGCGTAAGGTGGGAAACTCCTTTCCTCTGAACATAGTGACATATAATAGTCGTGCGCTCCAGGAGAAAGGGACTGTGTACTGACAGTTTTGTTCCAGAGTTCATGTTTTGCTTTACCCAGGGCATAGGAAAGTAATTATACCCAGGGTTTAGGACTAAATATGCTTCATCCTTTCTTCACTTTCCCTTTATTTTAGGAAGAACAGATCAGGAGGAAAAAGCGAGAAGATCGTCTTGAGAAAATTCGCCATAATGTGCAGTTAAAATATGCAGCAAAGAGGAAAGTGAGTTATCCCACAGAGATGAGAACTTCCTGTTTTGGTCACCTCGAGTGTTGTTCATACTTACTTATATCTGTGACTTCACTCTGAATTTTCCAACCCGTCCGTTTGCGGAGCTCTTTGTGTTAGGTGGCTGAAATTGGCCATGCAAAATTTTCCGTTAGATTTTCTTTTTAAAGTACAAATATGAAAAATAATTTGCGCATAGAGAGTTTCCTGTGACGGTGTTTGTATGTGGACAGAAAAGGTGTGTGTTCTGGTGGCCTTCAGATTTCTGCTTTGGTTTTAAAAGCTTTAAAACTTTTTTAATTTTTTTTTTTTTAAACTCTCTCATTTATGAGTATGTGTGAACACTGTACTTCTGGAATAAAACCTGTAGAACTGGGATTAAATTTAAAATCATGGGAACAGAAGCCCCCTCCCAAGAAAGCCAGGTTGAGCTTTGGTTGTGCTTTGCTCACCACTACAGAACATTGTATTTGTTTACTTTCATAGTAAACGTGATCGCATTGTTCCGAACTGTCTCTTTTTCTACATATAAGAAGTTCACAGGTGTATTTTCCTGCCATTTAGATGGGTGAACTGGCTTCAGTACTCTTGGCTCTAAGAGCTTTTTGATGGTATGAGTCAAACTTCTCAGAAACACCCGCTTCAGGTCCCCAAACGAGCAGATTTATTAGGCTGCCAGGCTATTAGTTTCTAGTGTGCTCCATCTCAAGTACAGTGTTATGTTTTGGTCAACTCCTGTCAAAAGAATATGGCAGAAATAACAAAGGTTCAGAGGTGGATGGCAAATCAAAACCAAGTGGAACAAAGAGCTTTCGTCTCTTAAAAGAGGGTGAAGAGCATGTGAAATGAGAAGTGTGATATAAAGCATGAAAGCAAAGGAGAGAAATGTTATAGAGATTTGGAAAAGCAACTGATTCATCTCCTGTGTAGTGCTCACTAACTGCGTTTCTTCGTAATGCCATTGTAAAAGAATGCTCATTGAAATTGGAAGATACTGTTTTCAAATTGAAAAAAACAAACTCTTCTTTATCAGAACACAAAATTAATCAGAAAACTATTCTTCAACATTTTAACGGAATTTTTGTAGAGGGGTAGACCTATGCTAGAATAAGAACCACGTAACTGGAGAAAGAAACAGCAAGAGAAATCTCATGCTCTGCGTCCTAAAACAGATGCTGAGTTTATCCTAGGTTTGAGTCGACTGTGGATGGAGTGTTTGATTATGTCCTTATATGTTTGCTTGGTTGGGTTTTTTTACACATTTTTTTTTCTCACCTTTTAATGGGCCACTTTAAGCAGCTAATACTGCATTATATTGATATTGTCATTTTAGCATCCAGTAGTTCAGTGTGCCTTGTGCATAGAAGGTTTTTATGTTTCCCCTTCATATATGTCTGTGTGACGAAGTCTTTGGTCTTTGATATTGGCTGTGTTCTGTGGGGCTGAACAGCTTCAGACACACTTGGTGCGTTTGCTTGTCCTGCTGGGGGTTTTCCCAGCAAGCTGTTCCCTGTGTTAGGGGTGAGGGACTGTGCTGTCTTCTTACCTGTCTGTGGCATAAAGTGATGCGCGTTCTACCTCTCTTTCTGTATGAGAAATAATGTGATCATGTGTTCCTTTCAGAGGTCTGAGGAGGACGAGACAAAGCGCCTGCTTCAGCTCAGCAAGGAGGTTCTTTCAGAGGGAGCTGGAATGGATGTTCTAGAGCAGCTGGACCGCAATGAGGAGGAGCTGATTCTTGCTGAATATGAGAGTGACGAAGAAAAGAAAATGGTATCTGGGTAAGAACAGGGACTGAGGGAGTTCCAAGACAAGGAAATGTTTTCTGTATCATTTTTGACTTGCCTAATGAAAGGGATTTCCTATGTGGTTGTGCAGATATGGCACTGGTGAGACCACACCTCGAATACTGTGTTCAGTTTTGGGCCCTTCACTACAACAAAGACATTGAGGTGCTGGAGAGCATCCAAAGAACGGCAGCAAAGCTGGTGAAGGGTCTAGAGCATAAGTGTTAAGAGGAGCAGCTGAGCAAACTGGGGTTGTTTAGCCTGGAGAAAAGGAGGTTCAAGGGAGACCTTGGCACTCTCTACAACTGTCTGAAAGGAAGTTGGAGTGAGGTGTGTGTCAGTCTCTTCTCCCAAGTAACAAGCGATAGGACAAGAGGAAATGGCCTCAAGTTGTGCCAGGGGAGGTTTAGATTGGATATGCCGAAAAATTTCTTCACTGAAAGGGTTCTCAAGCGTTGGAACAGGCTGGCCAGGGAGGGGGGGGAGTCACCATCCCTGGAGGGATTTAAAAGACATGTAGATGTGGTGCTTAGGGCCATGGTTTAGTGGTGGACTTGGCAGTGTTTGGTTATCAGTTGGACTTGATGATTTTAAAGGTCCCTTCCAACCTAAACGATTCTATGATTCTGTGAGTTTCTCCCTCATTCCAGCTGTGTAAGGTAGTTATTGTTCTGGAGGTTTGTTCGTTTAATTAGTTGCTTTGGTGTTCTACTTTAGTTTGGCTTTTAAGCTTTTGTTAAACTCATCAAAGTGGCCTGAAGTATTTTCTGAGAAAGTGCATCTTTCCTAAAATGTGTGGCAACGTCCTGCCTTTATCCATACCTGATTTCCCAAAGAATGCTTCTGGACGCTGAGCAAATGACTTGATCTCAAATTCCTTGCATTAGAAAAGCAAAATAGAGCTCAGGGCATCAGAGGAAGCTATCAGTCCTGCAGATTAGCACTGGCATCTTTTGATACTCTGAAGGGGAAGATGTTCAGATTTCTAAAGACGGAGCTTCACCATGAAAACCTCATGCATACTTTTCACTCTCCTGCATTTGCTTTATGCAGATGCCAGAAGCCATACTTCAGCAAGAAAAGTCAAATACGTTTAAAATACAAATTTGCTAATTAGTATCTAGACAGATCCTCCTGCCTTAAAAAACCCACTTAACTACTTCGTTTGTATGTAATTTACCAAACATTGAACTGCTATTGCCTTTGAGGAACTCTATGGCAGCTAAATATCTTCCTGAAGCTTTTCTTTATGCAATAGCTGGAGGGTGGTAAATTGTCTCTGAAGGGAAAGTTTTAAAAAAATAAATAAATAAGCTCACCAAAGAATAATATAGCACTGATTAGCTTATGCCTGGGGCTTGGAAGCCCCAGATTTAAAAGAAAAAAAAAAAAAATCTTGAATTTGCTAAAGACACAGCCTACCAACATTTTTCTTTTAAAGAGCAAGGCTTGACTTGGTTTTGCACACTTACACTATTCTTAAAGAGTCGATTTTTCTTTTACCTCCTGAGTTAAGATCTGAGGCTCTTCTTGAGATGACACAACGGTCTCTCTTGGACCTCTCTCTTGTAGTAGAGCATCATTTGATTCTCTCTCTGTGATCTGCTGAAAGGAAACTGTTTGAGCTTTCTCTTTTCTTAGGCTGGAAGATGATGATGATTTGGAAGAGGAGCATGTGACTAAGGTGAGATGAGGAAAGTAGATAGTGCCACCTCATAGAACAGCGTAGGAGTGAGCAGAATTACGGCTTCCTTGCGTCCTTCCCAGAGTCATGCGGTACAGAAGGCATTAGGGACTAGCATCCAAGAACTGCTGTGTTTGTTGATAATAGCAACCAGTTCTGCTGTGGTCATCTCCTTCTGGACTACCCTGGCTGCCTAAGCAGCTTGCCCTGCTAACACTGCTGAATTTTTGCTGTGTCTTGCTGTAAAAGTACACTGTAAGAAACATTTTTGTATTACTCTTCAATGATGAGTCCCTGTTTTTTTAGAGACCTTGGAAAATTAAATGGAAACAAAGGCAAATGCATAGGAGAAAACAAAGATAAGGCTGTTGGCCTCAACTGCTGTAAGGTGACACTCAAACATGTGCCTTCCCTTGTGTTTTTGAAGGCTTGAGCAAGATTTACCTTGTTGAGGTGCTTGGCTTCTTCCTTGCAGGATTGGTTGTAGGTAGGGTATTGGCTTCCATGTTCTTCTTGTCTTCCCTTTGTTTTTCCTCATTGTAGATTTACTACTGCAGCCGCACTCACTCCCAGCTGTCTCAGTTTGTGCATGAGGTACAAAAAAGTCCTTTTGGCAAAGACACACGTCTGGTCTCCTTGGGATCCAGGCAGGTATGTGGTATTGTTCACAAGAGACCCAGAGTGCAGGTTAATTTAATATGAGAGACTTTGTGAGAAGATGTGTGGTTGTGATGCCACAGAAGGCATCTCGGGGATTGACTGAATCTACCATTGAAAAACTGCAACAGTCATGGGTCGTGACGCAGGTCTGTGTGATGTATGTTTTTCTGTGAGCTGTGTTTTGGCCATTTGCCCTTTGATTTAAATAAATGCAAACATCTATTTTACCTTTTGTGGTGTGGGATATTACAGGTGTCTGAGTCACTGGGAAGGTGCTCGTCTCAGTGTTACTTCTGGCAGCATTTTTTAGAAGCTGCTCTGTAGCAGTGAGCCATCACAGTGCACTTTTCTCATTTTTTTGACTCCTTGCTAAGATTTTATGGGTTTTGAGCATCTTTGTAGCAGTTAGTATGCACAATGTTTGACTGACAGACTTTTCTATTTTGGAATCTAGCGAAAGATTTAAAGAAATCTTTTATTTTTCAGCAAAGGGTGCACAGGGGGCACTCAATGCTTAATGACCCCCTACTGCTTCCTCTCTTTGCATGTCCAAGAACCTGTGTGTGAATGAGGAGGTGCGACGCCTGGGAGCTCTCCAGCTTATCAACGACCGTTGCATGGAGATGCAAAAGAACAAACATGGTAGGAATACTTCCAACCTGGGGATGCAATCTTTGATAAAGCTATGAGGCCCTGGAGACGGTGTGTTCTGCCAGTCAGTTCTACCAAGAGACTGGTAGGAGCTTGAAAATGGCAGGTTGGAGGAGCAGAGTTAGAGAACCATAGTACTTTTACTTTTCTTGTCCTCCAGGCTATGACGCTGAGATCTGTATGTATATGTATGAGTGCCTTAAGTTGGTCAGGACTTCTGCAACAGAACAATACTTGTCTTTAACTCACTACTAGAAATGTTGGAAAATATCACATGGCTAAATAGTAACTGGCAAGAGTAGTGTCCACTGTGGAGATGGAAATCTTATTGCTGAATAATCTTTAAATAGATGATAGGTCAAAAATACATGTGACAAAGCCTGCTTTGAAATCCAAGAGGTTCTGCAAAGTGCTAGTTTTAGGCTGTTGCGTTGTTGCTCATGGCTTTCTTTTGGTTTCTGCTGTTAGAAAAGAAGAGTGATGAAGAGATGGAAGGGAAGAAGAGGCGCGTGAGTCGCGCTGTATGCCCGTTTTATTCCTATGAGCAAATGCAGTTTCTCCGTGATGAAGTTCTAGTGGAAGTGAAAGATATTGAGCAGTTGGTGACTTTGGGAAGGGAGACCAAAGCCTGCCCATATTATGGGAGTCGATTCCTGCTGCTCAGGTAAGGTGCACACGTTTTTAGTGGAATTAATGACAGAGCCTCTAAGAATAAACCAATTGCCTGCTCCCCCCAGTACTGTTACTGAATGTTGTGGGAGTTTGTAAACAGACTGTGTTTGTCAGCTGTAGTTTTGCTGAGAAAGCAAAGGAAAATAAGAATACGTGTTTGAAGTTAATAGGGAGGCTGCAAGTATATCTAAACATCCTGAAACAATTGAAAGGCTTAATAATTGTGAGGCAATACTGGTACACGGGTGTAATCCTAGCGCTTGCCACCACTCTGCCTTGCTTGGTTCTCTATCGGAAGACATGCTTTCAGTGCTTCAGAGGAGATTAGGAAGGTAACCTGAGCTGATACGCAGTTGTAGCATAATCATTTCTCTTTAGTTCACATCCCAGTGCCTTGCTCAGGCACATGCTCCTGTCTCTTTTCCTGCCTTTCTCATACTAAGAGTAAGTAACTTGACTAAATTCTGTGGGGCCATCTGATATGGGCCTTTAATGAGTGGTTGTGGAATGCTCTAAATCTGTAAGGATGAGAGAATCAGGGCAGTGTGTGCTTCTCCTGTAGCTGGTGGTGCTGCCCTATCAGATGCTCTTGCATGAGCCTACTAGGAGTGCTGCTGGGATCAAGCTGAAGGACCAGGTTGTAATCATCGATGAGGCCCACAACCTCATAGACACCATCACCTGCATCCATAGTGCGGAGGTCAGCGGCTCTCAGGTGGGTCATAGCCTGGCCTGTTAATCGTGAGCGAGCTCTGCGTCCAGCAGAGCACCCGTTCTTAGCTCCTGCGTAATAACAGCTCCTTTTTTCCTTCATGTAGCTGTGCTGTGCTCACTCCCAGCTGTTGCAGTACATGGAGCGGTACAGGTGAGGATCTCAGAGGAAAATAGCACAATGTTGTCAGGCAGTGTGAATGCCATGGCTTGTCTCATGTCTGCGGGGTCTTTCTTGCTTTTCCCCGGTAGGAAAGTTATTTGCATTAATACTTCTGCAGATGAAAAGCCACTTGCTTCATTATCTCTGTCTAGAATCCGTCTTAAGTCAGACTCCTGGGGCTGGTATTAAGCAGTGAGAACGGGGTTACTCTGAGGATTCTGGCTTTCCTTTATACTCTCAGTTCCTTTCCCAATATCTCCCTCTAATCACTCCTGCTTTGTGATGCAGAGTTTCAAAAGATTCAGTCTTTCATGTCTCTCCTGGACCTTAGTTTTTCATGTGCTGACTGGCATTACGGCAGAGGCAGTAAGCTCTGAGGAGGAGGAAGCTACGTGTGGCTTTTGGCTCTGGCCAAACCTTGTGCCTTGTCATCGCTGCAGTGGTTGATTATTGTGCTCAATGCCAATAACTTTGCATTTGTGGAGCATTGTTGCAACTGGGACTTGAGATGTCACTGCCATTGTAGTAAGCAACCTGTAATTAATGTGCGAGGAGAAAGGCAATGGTAGGAACAGTGTGGGGTGCATGGGTGAGTGCTCTGGGGTGACCTTGGGCAGGAAGGGGTCTATGCCCTGTCACAAATAGGGAGAGTGAGCCTGGGGGAAATCATTCTTGGTTCCTGTCTCCCAAAATGAATGGGGGGTTCAGGTGCTTGTCTCTGCAGCTCAGCTGCTGTGAGTTAGTCCCTGAAGATGTTTCAGGGCCTAATGCCTGCTCATTTTTTCATAGGAAACGTTTGAAGGCAAAGAACTTGATGTACATTAAGCAGATCCTGTATTTGCTGGAGCGGTTTGTGGCCATGCTGGGAGGTAAGCAGACCTATTGTGTCTCCAGGGATGCTGTTAGACTCTGAGCTAGTTGGTGCTTCCTCAGGGCACTGTTCTCCTTCCTCCTCTGCAGAATCTGTGGGGAGGTGTGTTGCTTGTGTATAGGTTCAGAGGCCAGTAATTTTATTTCTCAGGCTGTTTTGTAACATGGGGATGTTGACTGGTGTCTGCCTGAACCCCACTCTTTGTTTGATTAACTGAGGAGCAGTAGATGACATCACAAATTGGTAGAGGCAGTTTCACTCTCTTTCTGTGTGCTTTTCGTATCTGATCTGAGTGGAGACGAGGTAGGGTGCTAACTGAGGAATACAGATGTGTGACAGTGGTCAGGACAGCACAAGAGCTGCACAGAATAAATCTCCTGGGTGATCTGGTGGCACGGCCTCTCCCTGTGTCAGGTGTGCCTCTGCAGAATGAATCTTTCTTTAGTGGTGCCTTTCCTTTGTGAAAAAAAATTAATTTGCTGTGATTTTTAAATCCACTGGCATTTGCAGGTCTCTTATCCTCTAATGGTCTGTTTGCGAGACCTCAGTGAGCCTTGAGGAGACCCTGCCATAAGTTCATAAAGAGCTTCCTCCTTGCCCAGGTGAAATGCAGCTCGTTTGGGCAGGGGCCTGGTGGTGCCCTCTGTCCTTCTAATGTGTGCTTCTCTTTCCCCTCTGCTCCTGCCACTCTTCCCCACACTCAGTTAAGTGCTTTCATTAGGAAATGCAGCCTGTGTACAGCTTCATGATTGAGGCTGCAAAAGTGAGATGTGAGGTGGGTGTTAAACACTAGGACATGAAATACAGTGAGTGGCAGCAATTAATCCTGTTCTGGCTGTCGGGGTCTGGGCATGGAGCTGTCCTCAGGTTTTTCCCTCTTCCCAATCGCCTGCCAGCCTATGTGCCTCCCAGCTCCCTGCAGCTGCATTGAGGAGGGGTGAGGGATGCATTGAGGAGGAGTGAGGGATGCATTGCGGTCCCCGTCCCTTCATCTTTGCAGTATGATGACTACATAGTGTGTGAGCATTTGTATGCACCCACCCTACCTGCTGCCTCCTGCTACAGAAGGAATGTAGGTGGTGTTTCTTAGGATGCAGGAGCACACTTGTCCTACAATGCAGGGCTACCCTATAAGGGAAATTAAAACTGAGCAGGAGCTGATGTTTTGTCCATATAGCTACATTTCACGGATGTATAGTTATTTCTTGTTTTTCGTCCTGGTGCAGTGTCTCTTTCAGCTTAGTTGTTAGTCTCTTGCTTAATTTTAAGACAGAGCCATTGTAAGCCTTTCTTGACTTGGTTTCATGTTTTACAGGTAATGTGAACCAAAATCCTAGCTGTCAGGCAGTTTCCCAAACAGGTAAGACTGGAGTGAACACCTGGGGTATGCAGTCATCAGTCAAGGAGATGGGTGTGGACAGTAGGGGGCTGCAGGCCCAGCAGCTAATATTTTTTTTTTTTTCCTCCTTTCCCCCCTTTCAGGGACAGTGCTAAAATCCATCAATGATTTTCTGTTTCAGAGCCAGATTGACAATATCAACCTCTTCAAGGTAATGCAAATGTTATCGTCTGCTAGGGCACAGGTGGTGGTGACTTGTTCAATGTTATCAGGAAGTGTGTATGAGAGCTCCAAGTAGACCCAAGGCCCACATGGCGGAATCTGCTTTCTAGCAGAGTCTCCTCCTTGCCCCAGTGTATAGATCTCTTTGGCTCCTGTCTGGATAACAGTACATTAAAGCTGGATAGGTGGTCTTGGGGTAGAGGGAAGCAAGCAATTAAACATGTACGAGTGCAGAGGCTGTCTGTAGGCAAAGCTAAACTGTAAGGGTTGCAGATGAAGAAATGATGCTACTCCAGTAACATAACGCATCCCTCGAACCTCCAAACACAGCACCTTAACACGGAGTGTTTCCGCTCTGGAAGCAATGCCTTTGTAATAAACTGCTGCCTGGGAGGCAACACTCAGAGAACTGTGCACCCCTCCCCAGAGCACAGCAAGAACAGCAAGCGGTATCTCTGCTGGACAGGGATCAAAGGCAGAAGAAGGGATGCTGAATGCCAGTTTGTTTTTTCTCCCTTCCTCCAACAGGTTCAGCGTTACTGCGAGAAGAGCTGGTACTGCCCTGTGACTTTATGATCAGCAGCATTCAAATGCTGTTTCACACATTGAGTTTGAAGTGGAAGATGCAGCAGCTGGGGTGGGAGCCTGTCTTCTCCACCCTGCTCCCCAAACAAAGTGGTTCCTGCAAAAAGCACCGTATGGGCAGGTTACCTTTTGCTTATATGGCAAAGAAGCACACAACGTGGTGTGCTGCAGTATTCTGGTGGGTGCTAATTCTGTGCTTCCTGGCCTCAAACTGGCTGGCCTGGTAGACTGTACTGCACTGGGAGAACAAGCATCAAAACTTGTTCTGGTTTTGATTAAACGAGCAAAGGAAAGTGATGGGAGCTCTGGGCTGATAGATTCTGATTGGGCTAGTTTGTGAACACCTGCCAAAGAACTTTGTCTGTGGTAGGCCAGCAAACCTCTTTTTATTTCGATCTGGCTTTTGCTTGGCAGCTTTTCGGGTTTGTGGAGCGATATGGAGGCCTTGCCACAGCTGTGAAGACCAACAAGGAGAACCAGAAGTTGGCTGGTTTGCAGAACTTTCTTCTGACCCTCCAGCAGGGATCTGATAAAGAGGGTGAGTTCAGACATCCTCTGCTTGTGCATCTGCGGACAAAGTGAGGGTGTGGAATGAACATCTGTCTGCATGAGGGACGAGGGGAGGTAGGTTTGAAGAGTGATAGACTGCAGAAGCTGTCCTGTACAGAGGTTTTTTTAATGTATCTGACTAGATGACCTAGGTGACTATACATATGATTAGAAGGTCTCCTGAGGTCCCTTCCAAGTTGAATGATGCGATTCCATGTTTACACTGCATGCACTCAAGCTTTGCCCTGCTGGCTCTGGGACCTGAGCTACCATGGGTAGCTCTGTTGAGTGGTGCCAGCTACAAAAGCCAGATCTTTCTTTTTTTTCCCTAGCAATGAGACAAAATTTGCGTTCTCTCCTTTATTGGGTCTTTGTTCTCTGCCTGTGTATGTAGACCAGGTATCATGTTCCTGTAGAAAGGAGCCATCCATATTTTGTGCTTAGTCTCTGCCTTCCGAAATGTGGCCTAAGTTGCTGCCTCTCCTTTTCACTTCCTGCCAGCAGGTACTCACCAGAGCCCTCCCGTGGAGGCTGAGAACGACCAGCTCCGAACTGCCTCTCCACTGATGCAGATCGAAGGATTTCTTTCAGCCCTCACCAATGCAAACCAAGATGGCCGAGTCATTCTCAACAGGCAAGGTACTGGAAGGGGCGAGCTGGGGAGAGGTGGCGTGAATCGCAAGCAGGCACTTCACTGGCAGTGAGGGAGGGGATCCTGAGCCTGGGGGCAGCCTGCAGCCTTGCCGGAACACGTGTGCTGTCCGAGATGCAGACTGGCAGGCTTGGTCTGTCTGAGGACTACAGAACCAAGGGCCCTGGGGCCAGGGTTTGCAGAGCTCTGCTCCCACTTTGGGTGTTGATTTTTGTCTTGCCATTTACTGCGCCTCTTCTACAGCTCCATGAAGATTAGGAAGCAGAAGGTAACTTCTAGATTTGCATAACCTGCTGATGCCCCTGGCAGTGTAGAATAGCAACAAGTCCTTGTTTTGAGAGGTGGGGATTTGCAGAGTGCCCAGGACAGGAGGGAGAATCTCTCATATCCCTGAGTGTGTGTCACAGCTAGTTCCTGATGTTGTCTCTCTCTTTTTCCCAGGCACAGTTGGTCAGAGCAGCCTCAAATTTCTCTTGCTGAATCCAGCTGTCCACTTTGCCAAAGTGGTGGAAGAATGCCGTGCTGTAATCATTGCTGGAGGCACCATGCAGCCGGTGAGGGAATAAGGATGCGATCCTGAGCTCTCAGGAGGTCCCTGGTGCTGTCTGCAAGCAAGCATGGAAAGATAGCATGTGTGGGAAAAGGCCTTTCCTATGTACCCTTTTATCTTTCTGGTGCGGTTTCCCTGCATGAGGCATCAAACTGCCCATTTATGTAAAAAGTTGTAGGTGTAAGGGCAGGATTGCCCTTGTCAGGCTTTCTCGTCCTCAAGGCAATACAGGCTGAGGCTGAGCTCGTTGTAGGTTGGAACTGGCAGCCAGAGGACCTTATAAACCATCTGACCTAAAGGGGCAGGGATTCCGCAGGGACCATCCCACAGGGGATCGTTCAGAAAAATCAAGACTTCAGTTTGGATATGGTGGCGGGCAGCTTATCATCCTTCTGTTGCTTTAGTGTCTAAGAGAGCGTGTTTGTGTTGTACAGATGCAGTGGGGTGTGTCAGATATCCCAGTTAGCTACATTAATCCTGTTCCTGGACACACATGTCCTGAAATTTCCGCTTTACCCTTGAGGTGACACGGGAGGGAAGGAGGGTGCGAAGTGCAGGACCTGCTTTTTGGAAGGCCACCGTTCCAACTCTGAACCTTTCAGACTGCAGCTGGGAGAGGGGATGCAGTCCAGGCTGTGGGCTGTGCAGGGCATGGGAGTCCTGGCACTGGGATTTTTGGGTCTGGGGAGCCTGAAATCGGGCGTGCTGGGCCGGGAGGCTGGGTGGTGTCAGGCAGGGGCCGTGCCCCGTGCAGCGGGGCGGTGGCAAGGCTCAGGACCACGCACGCTG